TAATGCTCTTTGTGATTTAACAAGCGTCTGCAACTTGAGCAGCACATGCCAAAATCAATTGTTTGACATCAATCTCTTCCGAAAGCCAAGGAAACTTTTTTTTAAGCATTTCAGCAAGTCAGAATAAATCCGCACAAAGACAGAAACGACAATACGAACAGCAAACACTTTTTCTACCACGTCACCGCTAATTGCGGCAGTGAATTCTCATAACTCCTTGAACAGGGTAAACAGCTCCAAAGGATTGGAGGAACTGTGCTGAAGTGAGTTGAGGAGCTTTATCAGACCGATATAGTGCTTTGCCACCATCTTGTGGCATTTCTCTGACAAGTCACGATGTTGAAGTAAAGTGAGGAGTTTCATTTTTGGGGACGCAATTTTATGGGATCCTGGTCGAAGTCAGTTGAAGAACTTTGGTTGGACAAAAGTAGTGCTTTAACTGCCATTCTGTGGCACACTGAAGCCAAGCAAAAATATTGCTTTGCCACCCTCTCGTGGTACTTTGGCACTACGGAACTATGAGTTGAGGAGCTTCATTGAAACTTTGTGCTTTGCAGTCATCATGATAGAAAACAGATGATGAGGTTTGGTTTTGAATCATACACATCTGCATCAGAGATGTAAAAAGTGAACATATGAAGTAGAGAGTAATTAGTGGAGTGATGGAGAGCCTTTAGCAGTGCGGCAAGTCACTGTGAGTGGATGTGTTAGAGAGACAGAGAGAGATGTAAAAAGTGAACAAATGAAGTAGAGAGTAATTAGTAGAGTGATGGAGAGCCTTTAGCAGTGCGGCAAGTCACAGCCAATAAATCAAACTGATTGATTCATCAATCACGGTCCATCATCTAATTGAGACAGACATTTGCCCACGCAAATAAAGTCTTAGCGTTTAAAGGATAGGTGTGATTCTGTAGAGAGGCGAGACATTTTTTTGGGATTAAAAAAAATAAGTGTCTGATGTGTGTAGACAAGCATGCTTGCTTCAAGCCATTTGTCTCTCCGGGCTTGGTGTTTACTGTAAAACTGTCAAAAAAAAACCAAAACAAAAAAATAATCAAAGTATATTTAGACATCGAATTGTTCCAATAAATTTTGTATTTTACGTTTTTTTTTAGGTGAACAAAAGTCTGCTAGCCTAATGCTAACATATAATGGTAAACGCCATAGATGGGCTAACCAACATTAGTATAGACGTTGCAAAATCATAATCTGTCAAACCAATGCCACTTGAACACGCACAGAGGAGCAACGCATACAAGCTGTGCACACGACAGTGTGAAGAAGAAGAAGAAGACAATAAGAGGAAAAAGAAAAAGAGAAAAAAAAAGCTAGAAGAGCAAGAAAAAGCAGCAGATAAAAAAGAAGAGGGAGAAAAAGGAAAAAAATAAGAGATCAATTCTGAAGAGGCTGGACTTCACCTTTTAATAACTGGACATTTCACCTGTCAACGTGCTGTCAATCATCTGTCCAACGTGGCAGGAAATGCTCGCCAACTCCAAACGTCCCTCAAAGTCGAGCTTTTTGCTCAGTGCAACGGCAATGTACCCACGTCTTTGATGTGTCTTTTTCTTCCTTCGCTGTCATCTTGCTCAAAGCCAGAAGACGCCACCCACTCTCGTCGCCGGGGGCGACGCCTGCAGCCTGGGGGGACTCCAACTTTTCCTTGTAGTCAAGATCCAAGACGGTCTTCTTTGGAGATTTTCCTTCTTTACTCTTCAGATGGGGGACGACCCCATTTTTTTGACATCGCCCAACCCCGACGGGTATCGGACGGCTATTTTTACCAACAAAAAACAAAAAACAAAAACAACATTTTAATGTTTTGATTAATATTTCTTCCCAATTAATAATAATGAAAAATTATTAAAACTATTGCAACGTTTTTCTGTATTGCATTCATAACATACGTCTCGTATTATTGTTCCCAACAATGCAGAACTCAAATGTGTGTGTGTGTGTGTGTGTGTGTGTGTGTGTGTATATATATATATTCATCAGCGAGATTGGAATGAGACAAAAAGATAATCCAGAGGACTGCGTGTGTGAAAATGAGATCATATCTCTCATCCATCCATTTTTTAATCTGTATTATAATAATAATAATAATAATAATAATAATAATTATAATAAAAATAAGCACAGTGCAGTTGATGATAATATTCACACTGCCACCTCCTCAATTCCAAGACGCCATGAAAGACGGCCGGCGGCTTTGACGTTTCAATTCGTTTCAAGGACGCCCGATCACCTTCAGCGACATCATCGTCGCCGGCTCTCGGTCACGCTCCAACGCCAGACGAAGAAAAGACGATGATGAAGGTGAAAAGGTTTCTTAGGGCTAGCTTCAATGTGGCTCCAAATTAGTTGACACAAAAGAGATTCATTGTGATATCTGAAAAACGACAGAATGATTAGCTGGATCATTGAATACGTGCGACATATTTAGTTTTTTTTCATCGACATGATTTGCACAAGTTCGCATAACAATAGATTGTCGTGATGTTACACTTTAAGCTTGTGAGAAAAGAACAGTGTGTGATTGATTGGACTACAGCTTTGCAATACTATTCCAAGAAAAGTGTCTTTTTTTGTGAATGTTGAAGTCATTTTTTGGTAAATCGTCATGACCAAAAACCACGATCGATTGTGATTTGACACCCGCGTAAAGTCGGCCTGCATTTTCATATTCTCCGAGGTGGATGTTTTACGACCGACGTTATTGCCCTTAATTTTTTAATATCAAACGTTGTTTCTTCTAATAAAGTATAAAGCGCATATTTTTGTTGCTCCCACAAAGCAAATGTACCGGTATTAAACGTCACTCTTTTTTATTGCGCCCATGAATAATACAAGGGCCCTGGCACTAATCATAAGAACAAAAAAAAAAAGAAAGATATAAAATAAAAGAGTAAAACGACGCTGGTCCCGACAGCAGAAGATCCAAAAAAGTACTTTTAAATATTTGATGTTCACCCCAGTGGACCTCCATTTCACAAGAAAAAAACATATGTATGAAATATAAAACATCAAATATGAATCTGGTGCATAAAAAAAGATGACAATCTCAGACACAAATTTGTGGAGCATCCACATGTCAAGAATCTCCCTGATTGACTTGGTGCTGCTGTTTTGGTAAGCAACAGATTTCACAGGAGGTTCAAGAGTGTCTGAATGTCAACAATACCAATTTGTGGGGGGAAAAAAAATGACATCATTTAAGTGGATGGTGACGAGGCGAATTAAACTTTTTTTGTAACACACACACACACACACACACACAACACACACACACACACACACGCGACTGAGTGTCCATTTTGTGCTACTGTCAATCAGTGACATTCAAACGTGACCTTATAAAGAGACTGTGAGACACATCACTCGGGACCATTCCCGAGGGGCAACATAAATCCCCCTCGTCTGTCAGACGTGTAGTGTGTGGGTGTGTGTACGTACGTGCGTGTTCTCCAGAGTGCTGACATTCCACTGCGAGCTAAACCTGACATCGTCCTGACATTTTCTTCCCTGCTGCTTTGGTCCCACCTGCACACGAAAAAGACAATAAATAAATAAATAAATCAACAACCAACAAATAATAGGGGGATGTAAGATTTTTTTTTACTGTTGTGATCAATAGCGTTTTAATGGCAAAATGCTGCATTCAGACGGGAACCTGGTCTGCTGAAGCAAAAAGAATTTACAAGTCTGGCGGTGAAATGTTCTCTGGTGGCCTCGCCTTTTTGTGAGCAAATAGAGATTTTGATTTGAGAGGAAGAGGGGACCACGTATGGAGCCCTGCGGGACACCTTGCGGGACAGGGGGCAGTTATGGAGGAGGAGGAGGAGGAGTCACACGACATTTTTCACAATGCAATTCTTGTGGCCAAATGTGTTTTCATGTGTGGGCCAAGCGAATGTGTCGCCTCGCTACAAGTTGTTTTGGACTTGAAGTCAAGTTGCCGCTCAGATAACCACGCTTGGTTTGCTGCTGACCTTTTCATGAAGCGGAACAAGTGACACGCCAGATACTGCCGCTACCCACTCCATATCTTATCAGCCTCGGGCACTCGTACCTCCTGCGACATCTTCCTGCAGCAAGAGCGCCTGTTGGCAGAGATTATATAAATAATAATAAAAAAATTGAAGTGAGCACAAAGACGATATGGATCGGAGTGACCCGCCGCCTGAACCGTCTCTCCGCGGGGCAGCTTCATCCCAGAAAGGGGTCACACGGCCAGGCCATGAGAACTCATATCACAGCGGAAGAAAACACAATTGATTCATTTATTTTTACTGTCACAGAAGCTCACGAGTTCAGAAGTTGGAATTTGATTTATCACATTGGAAATAAAAGCATGAACATTAACGAGAAAAATTCAAGCACATAAAGAAAAGTCCATTCTAAAGACTTTGTATTCCTTCAGCGAAATGAAGATCCGCAGCGTTTGTTGACAGCGGAATCGGGATTTTAACAGGGTTATGGGGTGGGATTTGGACTCAGGCCTCACAAATCCAAAGACAAATGCAACTCGGGTTGGGAAGAACGTGTCAAAGAATGTACAATTTTCATTCTACAAGACTCCTGGAAGGCTGCAAGATGTAATTCCAGAAAAGATGGGGAGAGCAGGTGGGTAACTTTTGTCTTGTAAATGAATCCCATCCAGGTGTCAATGCAAATTTCCCCAACATCTTTATTCACAACGTCATGACCTTTTCCCGCACGGTTTTCATCAGCAAACCCCGACGTCATCCCATTTCCACGCGCACCAGAACAATAAGCTCCATGGTGGGAAATATTGACCGCGGCAAATGGAAATGCTAATGGGGGAGTCCCTGAAGCCCAGAGGTGTTCTGCCTTCATGTCGAATGGAGATGAGCCTTGGGGGGGGGGGGG